AGTTTTTGTCTTATTTTTATGATCAGTATTCATTTGATGGATAGTCTATTCCATATGCGGGGTATGTTGTTTCTTCAGTTCTTTGATATTTGTTTAATCGTGCTTTAATATAGTTGGCTTTGCTTCTTGATTCATTAGCTAGATAGTTATCACTATCATCAGCTATGTATCTGTTGTCAAATAAGTATTGTTGCGGTCCTTTTTTAATTAATTCTAATTCTCATATTTCTTTTACAAATAATAATAAATTGATATATTTTTTATTTTCAAATGTGTTTCGGAGTGTTAGTTCTTCTTTTTCTTCTAAAAGTTGTATTTCTAGTATTTGTATCATTGAAATTACTTGCTGTATTCTTGTATATGCTTTTTGTATTTCTTATACTATTTCTTTTGAAAGTGGGTCTTTTACTTGGTTATATTGATAATTTCCTTTTCTTTCTTTATTGTTTATGAAGTCTTGGTCTGGTAATTTTTCGTAAATAGTTACTTGTTTTTCATCTATCTCAATTATTTTTTCTAGGAATATATATTGGTTTTCTGTTTGATTTTGTGAAGGTACAATAGAGGTTTGATTGTTTGAAGTCATTTAAATCGTATTGGGTTGATATTTCTTTTATTTTTGGTTTTTTTCTTTTTGTATAGTTTCTATATTCTTCGTATAAGTCTTCATGTCCTATGTTTCTAAAGAATATTTCTTGATATATATATATTTTTCTTCTGGTGTTAGGTATTCTAATTGGTCAGTGTAATCTTTGTCAGTACTTCTATAATATTTAGGGTTATTTATTATTGTTTGTTCTATTCTTTCGGCAGTTTCTATTTCTTCATGTATTGCGTGTGCTCTGTTTAATAAATGAGCTTGTTGTAATTTTTGTTCAGTTGTTATTATCGATTCGTGTAGTTCGTATATACTTGGTATTACTCCTTGTATTTGTAAGAGTAATTGTATTGATACTAATGTGGTTTGTAATATTCTAAATATTCTAAAAAGTATTTTAGAATCTTTTTCTAATCGTTCTAGATTAAATAAGAAGTTTTCAATATATGTGTGTATATCTGTTAAATTGAGTAATATTTCTTCTTTTTGATTATGATTGCACTTCCAATAAGTTGTTTGACTAAAAGTTATTAGTGCTGCTGTTTGTACAGAGGCATCTAATAGTTTTAGTGTTGCTCCTAGTTTTAAATTATTAGTTGGATTAGTTCTTGCTAATAAGTTTTGTATTGTTCTTTGAATATCTTTTCATATACTATGTGGTGGTCTTTGTTTTAATATTTCTTTTCTAGTATCTCGAGTTCTCAGATCGAATTTATCTTTTGGGTATAGTATTCTATTTTTGTATGATATCCAATATTCAAATCGTAAGGGGTGAAATTCAG